ACAATTGGGTCAACTCAAATTAAGCAAATCTGCCAAACCTCCTAATAATTTTCTCCTTATGTCAATCCGTTAACGTCACCCTATGCTGTACAGCCCGAGCGTTTAAGATTGTAAAAGCACAAAGAGCAACGAGACCTCAATGGACGGTGAAGGTATTTCATTTAAAAACTATCAAATTAGTCTTTATATTTTAATATTTACATTCGCGTATATGATCCCCAATCTGAAGGGGTCTAAATATCGAAAAATGAAGATACTGCAGAGAATGCCTTATCACACTGTTCTGCAAAGGCATCACAATGATAGTGCGGGATTGATAAGCAAATACTACCATAGTCTACATTAAGCCAGGATTTTGCCTCCCCACATACCACTTAATCAATTGATACCGATTGTTCTACTGCCAAGTGATTGTCCCTTTGTGCGTTCGTTTCAACATCTGATTGCAGTAGGAAACTTTTTAAGCATCATCGTCAACGTTACTAAGCCTTTTTGGCATATTGTGAAGGAAATGTTATTACTGCTTTTTATTGTGTCGCGTGCAATGCACTTTAAACATATCTGCAGGTGGCATTTCCTAATTAAATTAACTTGACGAGTAGAATTTAGGAAAAAGTATAGGGCCAAGACCACCCATAACGATTGCTTGCTTCGGTGACGTCGGGAGCTACAAGTTTGCTATCATTGGGATATGCAGCAAACCGCAATTAAATTTGCGCAAAAGGTAGGCTGAACTCAGCATTTATGCAAAGGGATAATAGACATCTACGATACTCATAATTAGATTGGAAACGGTTACCAAAGCGTACTTCTGTTAGAAATGTAGACCTGAGCTTTTGTTACTTTTTGTTTCTGACAGTAATCTTTCGCGCCTTTTATTTAGCAGAGTCTACCTCTATCTATCCCAAAATGATCATGAGAAGTTTAGCATCACATTGAGCCTTCGATGGTTTAGCAAATAAGAGTTTAAAAAACAGTTTCATTTGCAAATTCTGAGTATCATCTTCCGAAGAGAGTTGAAGAAACTATAATCCAGACATATCCATGTTTTTATCGCACAAAAAAATTCCAAAAAGTAGTAGTAATAGTCATGGAACTTCTTAAAACTCTGGAATTTTTGCATATCTCTCATATAAAATCAGCCAAATTGACTCCCTTTTAACGTTTGCCAGAAGTAATTTAGCTTATGCTTAAGGAAAAATCCACTATTCAACTCCACTTGATCTTGCACTAAATTTATTCTGTATACAACATAGGCACGGAAGATGGAGCCCAGTACGTGTTTCAGTTAAGCCCCTCAAAACCCAACGTTCCAATGCTGCGTATGCACAAGGTTCCTGAGATGACCATCTCCAATGCTTGGCAGATTGTGCGCCTGTGCTGCTCAGAGGTGATTTGCACTGCCATTCTAGCTTTCACCATCGCGCGCTCCATCGAAAATCCACCCGGCCCTGCCGCCGGCTTCCTCTTTGTGCCCGTATCGCTGTTTCTGGGCATTTGGATCGGCGGACCAGTCAGCGGTGGTCACATAAACCCGGTCGTTACTCTAGTACTCTGTGCTTGTCGTTGGGTCTCCTTCATCTACCTGCCCATCTACTGGTTGAGTCAGTTCGTCGGCGTTCTGGTAGGTATGGGCTTGGCGCACGGATTCACCCTAGCAATGCTGAATGGTACAGAGCCAAAGAACTTGACCACTGATGGCCTGCTGGGAGACTTCTTCTGGATTCATTTAGCAGCCGAGACGTTGACAACAACAATGTTCCTGCTGACAGTGGTCTCAAGCGCTGATTCAAAGAGGCCCGGGAACTGGACCGGCAGTGGCTTCTACACCAGTCTTTCGGTGGCATCGATGGCGCTCATCATCGGCTTATTCTTTGTAAGTTCCCTATGGCGCGTGAGAAGAAACAGTAGATTTCTGTTGGGGGGTTGGGACTGAACATATCCGGCAACCATTTGCAGATATTTGAAATTTGACCATCTAGTCAATCAGCTGTGATGGAAATTGGGAGGTGACATGTGCATTCCAACAATCTAAAGGTAAGAATGATACGGAATACACTAAGGACGAAATAAAAACCCTCAAGCAGTATGAAGCTTTAAAACCTATGAATAATTAGCAATCCCAACCTACGTTTACCCACCTTGGAAAAGTAGTTATAGTTGAAAACAAAACAGGGCATAACACTAAATTATAGTTGCTTTGGAACAATAGAATTTACGAACCCGAACAAAAAGTGATTGAAACCAGACGACGCCCAAGCAGGGCAGATTTTGACTCAAAAAGTAGGTATTATAGGGAATAAAAGCACGATTTACAGTTTCGGCATTCTGAATGTTTGAAAATTGCCACATCGAGAGTGAACTATTTTCTGGAAAAATAGAAGAACAACTTTCGAAAATAATGGCTGCAAAACATTTGAGATGGCTTCAGTACGTATATCTACCTTAAAATAAAATTAGAGTTGTTATAAGAACATTCGCTGGCAGATGTCAGCTTACATATGCATGTCAAATTTCGAAACAAACTGGCGGAGATCTGTGGTGAAAGATTTTTCCCAATGTAATTTATACATTTCTAAGTAGAATTAAAAAATTAAGATTAAAAACTTCGGTATACGCTGCGTCATGCAGCACCAGAATGCCGGTGACGCATGTGCTTGAGCCTTAAGTTGGTACCTAAATCATGCTTAATTATGCAAATTATATATGTTATTGGCTAGCTGTTGGCTGTTTATGATTATCGCGCGGTTTGCACAGTGAAGTTGATGGCCTCCGATTACCGATTTAGTCCATTAAGTTGATGTACTTCTGAAAAAAACACGAAAACACGTGACTAAACCTTTACCAGGATAGGAAAGACTGACTATGCGCAGAATATAAGTAAAATCAACTTATTCAACGGCAGCTAAGGAATGTCGCTTACATGTAGTTATTTAAAATTTTGAGCTGAAGCTAAGAAGGTTCTCTGATGAATATCCGAAAAATCGCAGGTACAAACTAGTGGTTTAAGGGCATTCGAATAACTGCGATCAAAAGAACAAAAAAAATTGCATGATATCAGGTTATTTTAACTTTAAGATAGCACACATCATCCTTTTTTGATCTTTTCAGGACGCAAGGATAGCCTGCTTTGTCAATCCTATTGTTCCGGTGGGAACAGCCATTGTCTTTGGCATAAAAACTGGCTTCTGGGTGAGTCTGTAATATTCAATAATTTTGCCCAGTTCATCAACGCTGATTTTGCTAGACACAAACTCTCTAGGGAGGGAGGAGTGCGTTTTACTACTGACTTGATTGAAGCGAATAAAAGTAAAAGCTGATTAATAAATTTAATAGCTGTTAAATGCTCGAAAGAGATTCGCACATGTTCCTGTAAGTGCTCTGCCGGCGAGATATAGTCGACACGTTCACCAAACGACTAACAGCCTAATAAAATGCGGCTTGTACATTGTGAAAAAGGTAAAAAAGAATAATCCTGTAGAGCACAGTTATTAGACCTACTATGCATTTTATATAACGACAAATCGACGGTCAATTTCGACGAGGTCTACGGCATGCTCCGCAACAGGGTGGTGCAGGGACGCTGACGTACGCATGGATTCGTTTTAAGTGGTTGCGTTGCATTGCATTTACCACAGTATCTATTCTCTCAAACGTTCGAGCCCGGTTTCCAGACAAAATCAAGAATACCAGAGGCGGGATCGGG